TTTGCGATACTAGGTTTAACATTACTATTTGGATTTTAAGTTAGAAAAATTTACACATTTTTGAATCAATAAACTTAACAGTTTTCTCAGAAAATATTGTGAAAAATTCAATTTTATTCGCTGTATATAAACTCTTAACAAAAAAGTTAGGCTTATTAATTTGAATTTCGCAAGAAAATCCATTCATCGACCGTCAGTGCCAAATTTCACATCAAAATAATCATTAGTGCATAGTATGCGCTTGTCTTTCTAAAATATTCAAAGTGCCTACGACGATTTTTATAATGAGTGATATTATCCAAGATAGAAGTTCCATTAAATTTTTAATGCGGAATCAATTTTCTAGTGACAAAACGCTCAGCATGTTGGAAAAGACTTAGGTAAATTGTTTGTCGCTAGCAGGTCATTTTGATTGTTACAAATTATTCAAAGAGCGTCGAGAACGCGTTGACGACGAACCACCACCAGGACTGCTATCAACATCAAGTAACGGATTTGGTGTTTGTGAATCGACAACTCACAGCCAGAGAGTCAGTGGAAAACTGTATTGAAAGATTATTATTTATTATTTTATGATATGTAATTAAATTTACAAACATACTAGAAAAACAAAGGGAAACTGGCTATTTTTGAAAGATCATTTGTGCCTAAGAAAAGTGAAAGCACAATTAAATCTAAAATAAATATTTTTAATAATTTTATTTAATAATAATTAAATAAAAGAAACAGCGTCGCTTTAACCTCTATGATTAATGCTTTCCGACCACCAGGATCATGACATTTTGTCATGAAAGGAATTATTACTGGGAATGAATCTTTTACCTATCCATACGACCCGGCAACAAAAGATCAACCGGCCGAATATCGTGGCAAAGGTGAACCGAAAGCGAAAAACCCAAATTTTTAACCAATATCGTGCCGTAACCACCGTCGCCTGATTTAGCTCTGTGTGATTTCCCGCAAACTCAAACGATCGCTCTGGGGAAACCGTATTGAGTCAATTGGGCACACTGAAAGTGAATCGATACGTGCATAGAAGGCTATTCCAGAAATTGAGAAATTGACTAACGTTGACACAAATGTATTGGGCCACAGGGGATTACTTAAATTAAGAGTTTTAAAATTATGAACAAAGTCTTATTTTGTGTTTTTTTTTTTTTTGACGTCGCAGGAACATGACGTGTCATTCTTTTCCTTCTTATTATTAGTTAGTGACATTAAGTCATTCAGATAATAGTAAACATTATGTTATTAAGAGTTATTACTCGAGGCTTCCATCCTTAAGTAAAATTTTAGCTTTTTTTTTTTTTTTTTTTTTTTTTTTTTTTTTTTTTTTTTTTTTTTTTTTTTTTTTTTTTTTTTTTTTTTTTTTTTGTGAATAAATTTAAATTTAACTAGATTGTAACTGTAACAAGTTACCTTCGATGCAGAGTAAACCGGACACTTCTGTGTAGAAAGAATATAAAAATTGCTCATGAAAATTACATTAGTCTATTCAACTAAAAATAACTTAAAAATCACATTTACATAGTTATAAAAAGTCTTCTTTATATAAAATGTCTAAATAAATAACCCTTCAGTTTCGAAAAAATAGTATTGTTTAAATATAATTATGTTTTTGTTAACAAAACACCCAAATTCTGAAAGCTTTAAAGTTGCTCACTTGTGTAAACACAGTCCACATAACCTAAACAAATACATATGGCTGCGTTTCCGGCAAGATTTGTCTCTACACATGCATATACGCAAACATAATGTGCCTGTGTGTGTGTGTGTGTGTGAGTTCATATATAAAAGTATATGAGACATATTAGCTCTTTTGCCGGTCGATGCTGGCGCATATAGCAAAAGTTTCCTAACCGCACTTTAGTTTGTAAACAAACATTGAGAGGTGATTGCACTTCGCAACCAAAAACAAAAAACAAAAGCACACGCACCAACACAAGCACAGTGGCACACACAAAATGCCGCAATGAATAACGCAAGCAAAAAGCAGCGACCCACCGAGCGGCGCCGTCAACCCCACCGACGACGGCCAGCCGGCCGATCGAACTGATTGTACAACAGTAACGAGGCGGACATGTTGTTGTACTGGCAGAGCAAATGCAAACGCCTGCAACAGAATTTTCGGTTGTAATCTTTGCTTTTGCGAAAACAACAATCATTAACTAAACTTGCGTTTGTTATTTTGGCTTCACCATAATCATTATTGTTGTTGTTGCTGTTACGCTCGTAGTTGCAGTTACTACGGCTATTTTTAGTTTGCGAGTTGTAGGCGCACTTTTGATTTTATTCTACTACAACTCTTTTGTTGTGCCTTTTACTACACTTTTTGTTGTTGTTGCACAATTTTGTGTTTGTTACGCCACTTTCGTTGTGTTGTTTGTGCAAAATGCAAATTCAACCGACACAGAATTCGGCCGGTAATTCAAGCGCTTGGGCGTGAGAGTTGGGCCCAAAAGGGTGGCATCAGGCGAGGGTTTCTCCGCTGCCGAATTGTTGCCGGCAGAGTGCACGAACGACGAAGAGCAGAGAGTTTTCCAAGTGTACGCATGCGTGTAAATTTTCGCTTTGTGCTGCTGCTTCTTCTAATTCTGCCGCTGACTGCGCTGTTGCTCTTGTTGTTGTTTGTGTTGGTCATTTTTGCAAGCAGCCAGGCGAGAAGAACACACAACGAAATTTGTTGCACCAGTTGCAACTCGATTACCGCACGCAATGGTTGGTTAGCGCGACGGCCTCTCCTCGGACAGACAAACAGACATACATATGTATGTATGCATACGAAACACGTATACAGTTACTAGCTCAATCAGTGCCGCAAGACGCTTACTTTTTTGCAAGCGAAAGGCACACATTCGTTCATATTGGGGGCCAACAGGGTCACCGCTGCGACCAGCCAACTAGAACCGGGTGTTGATAAATTAATGCAAATTGCAAAAGATGTTTTTATTGTTGGCCACAAGCTGGCAGTTATTCGTGGTGTAGCGTTCTAAGGCGTTGCATTCACTTGCCACATGTGGGTTGCAATTAAAATTGTAGCCTTTGAACTGTGCGCTGGCTCGCAGTTCAGTTTCCTTATCGTTTTTTAAGGCGCTGAACTAATCATAATTAATAGAAATATTTGTGTCGAGAAATTTTTTAGCTTTTTCTTTGGAACTGTTCGAAGAGACATGAGACTTAATGTGTACGTATATGTTCTATATTCAAGATTCGTTGACTCGTTCTTATGAAAACCTGGTTTAGTGCAAGTTAACATAACCCAAAAATATACATCCGAATCATGGAGGACTAAGCGCTACGTGTGTATAACAAAACGATCGTAGGCTTGATTACGCTTACTTTAACTCTTTCGACGTCTTTGAGAGTATTAGGTATACTGTGATCTAGAGATCTTAACTTAATTGAATATACTTAGTAGCTCGCATAAGTGGAACAAAATCAACGTGAAGAACTAATTTCATGCTAAGATCTCTTCCTTCCTCTCTCAGTTAATCTCAAGTTATATTTTCAATCCGTAAATTTTGAGTTTGAATAGATTCTTGATCTGGAGATCTGATTTCATTGAATATGCTGAGAAGTTCCCATAAGCCCGATCGATTTATTTTGTGCTAATGCCTTTTTTCTTTCAGTTAATCTCAAGTTCCACCTTCAATTCGCATATTTTGAGTTTGAATTGAAAATCTAGACCGTGATGGGCGAATGTTTATTACCATTCGAAAGAACATTCTTTGGCATTTGTTTTTTGAAGTTTATCTCTTTCAAAAGTTGACCGCGGCTAGGTCTTAGATGGTCTATCAGTTGAGTTCAATTTTCGATGACTCGTTCGAACATTTCGGCTGGTAACTGCGAATGACATGCAATAGATGCAATATATCCCAGACTTTACTATCACCACAAGAAAAAGTCTAACGATGTGATATCACACGATCTTGGTGCCCTATCGACCGAACCAAGAACCAAGATGGGAAATTATCTGCTCATCGAAGTGATCTTTTAATAAAACTTGTTGAAATCACGAGCCTCAATTTCAGCTTCAAATAGTCAGTTGTTCGCTATTAACGGTTTCGTTTTCGCCGACATAAATTTTTAAGAAATATGGACCGATGGTTCCAATGGATCACAAAGTACACCGAACCGTCCTTTTTTTTTTTGGTTGAAATGACGTGTCTTGAATATCTTCAGGTTCCTCTTCGTCCCAAATGTGGCAATTTAGCTTATTTACATACCTATTGAGCCAAAAATAGGCCTCATTGCTGCACAAAATTTCGAAACCGTCGGATCTTCTTAAAGTTCGCCCATAGAGTGAAGCGATGTTCTTTGAGAAGGTCGAGCGGCTTCAGTTCTTGCACAATTCAGCTTCGTTTTTTATCGTTTTAATTGATTCTTACTTTTACGCCGTTGAATTAGGATCTAGAATCGATCAAAAAACCCAAACATTTTTCCTCTATTTATAAATAATAGAACATATGTATGTATATATTTAAATATTCTGGTCTGCAAGAACTGTTGCACTTCCACACGCCCAAAAATAATTTGTTTCAATGCGAAACCTCAATGGTACTTAAAAAATTTTAAAACAACCTATAGTCAATGCAAGTTAATCCCCTCAGCAACATTTTCCCCACAACAACAACAGCAATAAAAATGTAAACAAACTTTCCGCGTCGCTTTTGTTACCGACAACACAATTTGACGTAGACAACGGCGTCTCTCAGCCGCCAGACGGTATTTTTATCGCATGCGAGAAAATAGTTACCTGAGCACCAAATCAACTTGCTACACCACTTGCACACACATTGCGCTCTCAAACCGCGGCCCTCGATGTGGTGAGAGCAGCGACTGCCTCAACACATTCCCAACTCCATACGCGTTCGTTTTCTATACTCGCACCAATGCTGTTTGTGCGCAGTTGGCAACCATGCTCAATGTCGTCTGGTGGCCGCTGTGTAGCATTGTTGTGTTTGGCGCTCTGCAGGGCGCATTCGTTAGCCTACCAACTGACTTGCTGGTTGGCGTCGTCGTCATTGTATGATTATTTGGTCCGTCGTCGCTTCAGTTGCCTATGAGACGTCGTGACGGTCATGTGTGTAGGCGCATCCAATTCCCGTGTTCGGTAGTGAAATAATCAAATCTTGTTTGTAAAATTTTCGCTCGCGGTCTATTGGCTTTTCTATTAAAATTGTCGCAAGCCGTGCTTTTAGCCAAACTTTAAAAGTTGATGACGCGAATTGGCAGCGCGTGTCGCCCTAAAGCTAAACAAACCGAAATTTTTTCGTACTGGAAGGAAGCGCGTGCAAATTAGAAACGCGTTGGTGTTTTGAAACCCGAGCGAAAATTCGGTTTTACCAAAAAAATTTATTTGTTTTTCTCATAAAGTGCGGCCGAAGAAATCACCCCGCGTACGTACGTGTGCGTGTGTATGTGAGCGCGCTGGTTTTTTGTGTGAAAATTGATATTTGTGCAAAGTGCAAGTGAAGTGCTCTTCGCCAGCATGCAAATGGTGTGCTGATGTAGTGACAACAAAAATAAAAGTTGACAACAAGTTTACAAACGTCAGCTAGCGCCGTGAATCAGCTGAATTATTGGTATTTAACTGTTGTTTTCAACACTGAAACAGCTTGTAGCTTGCAACTTCGCAAAGTTGAAGATTTGGTAAATAGAATTGTGTGTTTGGAAATTAAACTTTTTCGTAAATCGCTTTTGTCATTTCGTGGCCATGTAAGTGCGTGCGTGTGTGTGTGGTTTTACTTGCGTGTTTCAACATCGCTTTGTCCCGCTTTAGCTTGTGTTTTTAAGCGCATTGTCTTACTTATTAGCCAAACGTCAGACAAAAGCTGAGCTTAAAGCGGCCCTCACAGCCGCCTCACCTGTCTGCCCCAAATGCCTGCGAGCGCGCTCAGCTTCAGCCGTTCGAGTAGCCAGCTTTTGCGTTTGTTATAAGTAATACTGGTTTACGAAATAAACTAATATAACGATAATAACAAAAAATGTAACAAAAACAATAACAAAATATTCTGCCTAAATGAATTTATTCGGGGGAATTTTTTCTGAATTACGAAGAAAATAATTTAATGGTTTACATAAATAAGATTAACTAAAAATAAATAATTAAATTAACAAAAAATGTGACAGAAGCTATAATAATTATGAAAATATTGCAAAATGAATTTATTTGAGAGATTTCTGTTAAAATTCAAAAAAAGAATTCATGAGAAATTAAAAAAGAATTATAATAAGTTAAATATACAAATAAATAATAATAATTTAAAAATTAAAAATATTTAAAAGGATAACACTAAACCAACATTATAATTTTTCCACTTGTTTTTAGAAAAAGTAACTAAAAGGAGTATAATGGGTTTCTATAATTAAAGTTTCATTAAAACAAAATTATAAAATAAGTAATTCAATTTATTAAGAAAAGTCGGCTAAAAATTGATAGCAACAAAATATATACAACAAAAACAATAATAAATATAAATACACTGCTGAAGGAATTTATTTCGGGGAGTTTCCTCTAGAATAAAAAAAAAAAATTTATCAGAAATGAAAGTTATTGATAATAATACATTACATATTGCCTAAAAGAGAAATTAAAGAAATAATAATTAAATGAATTAGGAAAAGTTGGCTATAAAACTGATAATAACAAAAAATACTACAACAACAATAATAATAATATATATTAAGGCAGATTTCTTCTAAAATAGAAAAAAACAGTATGCTGAAAAACAAAAATTTATAATAATAATAACCAGAATTAAAAAGATTAATAATACAAATGTAAATAATGGTTAAAAATAAAATAAATATTATGTTTGTACCATTTTCCCATCTTTTTTGTACAAAAGTTAAAAATAGTTTAATCGGTAACTTAACTAAAACTTTTCTTAAAATGAAAAAACTAAATTTTTTTTTTTTGTATTATTTACATTTGCATTTCTTGCAATTTTTTGTGGTAATTTAAATTGCATTTGTTTGTGAAAAATATTGAAATTCTGTAAAAAAATATTATATATACATTACAAGTAAATATTAGCAAAATATTTGAATTATTTTTGTTAATTTGTTTTTTGGAAATAAATTATAAAATAATAAATTATTAATTTATATAAAAGTGCAAAATAATTGAAAATAATAATGATGTTTGTGTTGTAGCTAAATATTGTTTAATATTAAAATGTTTTAGAAGTGATAAAATCTAAATGAAAATGTAAAAAAAAGCATTAAAGCTAACAAATTTAGCATACTGAATTAAATTTACATGAAAACATAAAAAATAAAAGCTTAAACAAATTTGATGAATTATAAAATTTATAATTATTAAAAAAAAAAAAATAAAAAAATCTTACTAAAATATCAAGAAGTGCGTTCATGCAAAATAAATATAAGGGAATCCTAACCGTGATAAAGAGTGTTTTAAGCCACTTGCATATAAAATATAAAAAAAAAAATATATGTGGAAATAATAAAAATAGCAGAAATATTATAAATTTTTTTATAAAAACAATTCGGAAAATACCTGTTTATTAATAGAGCCAGTAAAATATAGCTAAAAAAATAAAGAAATTAGTCAAATATATTTTATATCATACAGATCCACAAATTTGGTTCGAAACTGTTACAAAAAAAATTTAAACAATTATATATAAAAAACAAAAAAATATAATAAATAAATAAAATTAAAAAAATTACAACTTTTAGACATTTTTTTTTAAATAATATGTTTTAATTAAAAGTAATAGCATATAATTGAAAATCAGAAATTAGTCAAAAGTATTTGGAATACATTTTTTTTTTTAAATTTTTCAGAATAGCTCAATTAATTTAACAATAAAAAATAAAAATTTGGTTCGACACAGTGACAAAAATTTCAAATAGTTATAAATAATAATAGCAAGAAAAAATAATATCACAATTCTTAGGCAGTTAAGAAAATACTTTTTTTAATAAAAGTTTTCAAGATGTGTTTATAATTAAAAAAAAATAAATAAATAAATAAATAAATAAATACAGAAACTAGTCAGAATAATTTTGTATACAATTTTTATCAAAATAACTAAATAAATCTAATACTAAAAAAATTGATTCACAGCACTTACAAACAACTTTAAATAATTAATAAAAACAATGGAATATTTTTGACTTTTTAAAATTAAAATCAAATAATTACTCCATAAGTGAACATAAAATATGTTAGTAGTAAAGTAATTAAATAATAAAATAATAATACAAAACTTTTCAACTAAAAAATAAACTTTTCTAAACATTCAATATAAAATTTTGCTTCGAAGCAGTAACGGCATTGAAGTCGAAAAAATATATTACAAAACCCAGTTTATTAAAGTAAAAAAACAAAAACTTTTTAAAACAAAGAAAATTTTTAGAGTTTCAAAAACCTTTTTTGTTATAAACTTTCCGCCAAAAAAAAAAACAATTTAATACCGAATTAAAAATAAATTATTAATTATAATGTATATATGAATTAAATTAAAAATTAATTAAATTAACTATTTAAAAATATATTTTTTTTTTAAGAACGTTTTAACAAAATAACCAACTAACTATTTTCTAGTGTAAATTTTTTAATATTTTTGTTAAAATTTTAAACGTGTAAGCCAGTGTAACGCGCTTTTAAACCTCTATTGCCATTATTGTTGCCTTTTTACACTTGCTTTGCACCATTTTCCACACCGAATATGTGATGTAAATAATTAAAAGTTCGCGCTCTTCCTTATCCATTCCAGTAATTCCCCACTTTTTGTTGTTGTTGCTTTTCGCAACAATCTGTGCGTAGCGCGCATAACCGAACAAAAAATTTTTAACTGCACAAGCATGAGTTCTGAGTGACTGGGGAGTGCGCCGCCCTCCAGTCTCACCCCCCGGCCGCTGTCGGACTACTGTCTGCCTGTCTGAGTTTTATATGAAATAATGCGCCGTTTGACCCGTTGGCGATGCCATTTGCTGTGCATTGTTTTTCGTTGTTGTTGTTATTGTTTGCAGTTGTTTGATATTGTTGTTGTGTTTGTTTTTTGTTGTTGCTGTTGTGCGCGCAGTGACAATCACATTTTCTGCGCTTTTCGCAAACGACGTTTCAGCGGCAGAAGTAAACAGATTAATAACAACAAACACAATAACAACAACAACAATGCGAATACATAAAACAGCAGTTGCACAGCATCCACCACAAAAGTTGCAATGCAAAAACGAACGTCAAAAGTGAATTAAAATTCAGCAAGCAAAGCGAGAACGGCCGGACAGTCGCGCCAGTGTCGAAGCAAACCTGTTTTTGAATAAAATTTAATTTTGTTGCATTTATTTTTAAGTACAACTTTTTCCAATACTTATTTGCCTTCTGTGCTGCTTATCGCAATTTTTTTGCGTTTTTATTTTTTAATCATTTATTGTAAATATGTTTATTATCATTCTGGAGCCCAGCTTCTGCTTTAAGACGCATTAAATATTGCGAGCCTTATCGCCACTTTTTCTAATATTTGCAGTTTTTTAATGTTTATACCATGAAGAAATTGTTCAGATCGTACAAATTAACCGCCATACAAATTAACCGATCAAAACCAGATTAGAGATTTTTTTTTTTAATTTTTAAGCTATAAGAAATGCTCCTCTGTAGGGTATTCGGCTGCACCGAAGTAACCTTTCCTTTTTTTAATATATTTTTTCCAATTTTTGAACTCTTCTCTACCCCTTCTTCCCACTATCCCTTTTACAACAAATTTTGCATTACTTTATTATTTTGCTTATTGCTGTTTTACTAATTTGTTTCGCGTCTTCATCACCAGCCTGTTCGACGGCCCGTTGCTTTCCGTTTCCGTTCTTCGCCGCGTACGCTTCGTTGGCTGCACATTTCAATTTCTTTTGTTTATATTCACCCTCCAGGCGACATTTCATATTTTACTCTCGAGCGATAATAATAAGCGAGATTTTCTGTACAGCTTCTTAGGTCCCGTGAGGGCCTCCATCTCAGCAACAGGCTGTGAAGTGCTCTAATTAAATTAAACATATTAAAAATATCAAGCTATGTTGTACATTTGTTTTAAACAAAACGAAGCGATTAGTCGCGCTTAAGTCGTGTTGTAGAAAAGCGAATCGCCATGTCAATAAGTTTGTGCATGCGTGTGTAAGTACATGTGCATGATTCAAAATTAAATTGAAAAATATTAAAGACCATCACAAGATAAGCGACTGTAAGCCGCTATTGCATATCACGCATGAATTTATTATACAACCCCATTTTAATTAAAAAGTCATCTCTTATTGGGATTTATGCATTGAAAATCGCTGAAACGAGTTGATTTCATGATTTGACGTATTTGAAAAAAATGTTCTGAATTATCGGTGGCTTACAGTTATCGCGTGTTTGCTGAGCTAATAATGCGTTCATTAGAGCGAATAGTTGAACTTGTGTTGAAGCAATTCCCCAGAGCTTTCTCTCAATTCATAAGTCGATTTGAGCTTCTAAGAACTTGTTTTTCAATGCTGGTGCATCAGATAAATTTCTAAAACTAAAAATTTAGAAAAACTAGCAAATCACACACTATTTAAAAAGTTGGGAACTTTTATGTTTCAATATCTCTAAGTCAATAATTGCAGCTTTCAGTTTATAAGTTGACCCCAAGCGGTTTGATGGACTT